AAAAAAGAAAAGTATTTTGGCTTGTGATATATATGCAGGTTTGTGATGTATACACAAAATTTGGAATGTTTATACTTCATTTTGACCTTTTTTATACTTAATTAGACCTAGAAGATAGGTCACATCTTCTAGGTGTGATGATTCACCTTAATTTTATTTGCCAAGATCCATATACTCCTAAGTAGTACTTTTGCTTCTCAGATTTCCTGTACACATACAAATTGCATTGTGTTTGGAGACATTACAAAGTAACAAAATATGCATTTTAGACTTATAATGAGTCCTAATTAGCCATTTCACGGGCATATTGAAGCATCATTAAACTTTAAGTTAGCACTGTTAAAGGATAATATCTTTTGGGATAAAGGTGGAGAACTAGAGTATTGAATTTCCTACTATGAGTACATATTTTAGAAAACAAATCTGTAGCCATTGTTAGTTGCGTTTTTGAAATTATTTTGTGCTTTTAACAAAAAGGATGGAAAGAACAAAAAGGGATTCACAGGAGTTGTTTGAAACTACCCCCACCTCCCACATTGAGGTATATAGAAAGTGAATTTTGAGAATTATTATTAAGTGGGCAGGGATTTAAATAAGTGACTTTCCTTGCAAATACCATTTTTTGTTTAAGATGACTGTAAGGTTTTACTGTTAATCTATAAACATGACTGGTAGTTTTTTAACCATATTATTTTGGGGGCCCTTAGCTGTTAGCTGTGATATTTGATAGTCAGGTTTTAGTCAAAAAATAGTTCAGTTTACATTTAATCTTACATGTTTACATGTATTTCTTTTTTATTTTTATTTTTTTTTTTAAATATTTTTTTTCAACGTTTATTTATTTTTGGGACAGAGAGAGACAGAGCATGAATGGGGGAGGGGCAGAGAGAGAGGGAGACACAGAATCGGAAACAGGTTCCAGGCTCTGAGCCATCAGCCCAGAGCCTGACATGGGGCTCGAACTCACGGACCGCGAGATCGTGACCTGGCTGAAGTCGGACGCTTAACCGACTGCGCCACCCAGGTACCCCTGTTTACATGTATTTCTAAGTGGTGTTGTAAGAAGAAAGTGTGAGTACAACCATTGTCATTTTTCAGACTTTGCAGTATATTTTGTCTGGGCAGGGGTAACATCCTACGATAGAAAAAATCGTAATGTTGACTTTCCACTATTTTAACTTTTCTTATAGGTGTTCAGATTCTGTAAATCCAAGTGTCATAAAAACTTTAAAAAGAAGCGCAATCCTCGCAAGGTCAGGTGGACTAAAGCATTCCGTAAAGCAGCTGGTAAAGAGCTTACAGTGGTGAGTATAGTTAGCTTTCAATGGAATTTTTACGGTTTTTAAAATTTAACTTTTACAGGGGAGGGCATATAATTTAATTAACTATAACAAGGCTTCCTGTGATGAGAATTGGTAAGTGATTTATTTGGGTTTGGTTCTGATAATAATCTAATTTGCTACTCAAGGATTTTGAGACAAAGCCAAGAGATTAATTAAAGGATTCATCACCAACATTAAGGGTTCTGATAAGATTTGTAGTAGACTGATTTATCATTTTCTGGATTTCCTTACAGGACTTCGAGAACAGAGAAATTAGGTAATGGTGTTGGTAGAAGGAGGAATAGTGGATAGTCAAGGGTGAGAGAATATCATGCATGAGTCAGCCATCATCAGGTTGTTGGTACTGAGTTGGTATAAGGGCCTGGTGAAGCTAGTTCACGTATGACCCATGTAAAGGAGGAGGTGAAAGCTGCTGCATAAGCCTCCTTTGAGGGAAGAAGACCTTTAAACTGTTCCTTCCCTCCTTGTTTGACTTTCCCACCTCTCTACTCCTTAAGGGCAGTGTCTAAGCAATTGCAGTGAAGCCTTTTCCTGGCTTCCTTAATACTCCTCGTTTTCCATGAATGAGGAGAATGTATTTTGACAAGATGCAAAGCCAAATCACAATTATTGTCACAAAAATGATTTCTGGTATGGATGAGAATAAACTTAGCACTTCAAATGCAAGTGACAACTGCATGAGTGAAGAAAGGATGCCAGTCACAATCATCTGCTGGTGACCAGTTACCTTGTCTTTGCTGAGGTTATTGTGACTGAGTAGGTCACGTGTATATAAATAGGTAAATACAGAGTTAATGCTGTTCCATGTGCCTATCTCACATAAATTTGAAAACTAAGAAACATACCTATAGTTTTTCTAAGAGAACTATAGCTTTTCTAAAATTGTTTCTCATGTTTTAAGGTAAATAGGATTATTAACTGTCAAAATACCAAGTACATTTAAAGGGCACCTGAAGAATTTCTGGGAGAGAATTATGTCATGCAGAGTAGCACCACATTTATTTGAAGATGTGTAGTTATATAGCTTTATGCTATAACAAAGTTATCTAAGTGTTCATATGCTATATGAAGATGTGTAGTTATATAGCTTTATGCTATAACAAAGGTATGTAAGTGTTGAGATATATGAACATACATGATAGGTTTTTAGGTTGAACCATATGAAATTCTCAGTGTTTGACTCATTTTGATCTTTGAAAAGTAGTAATTCATATGGTTCAGCCTCATAGAAAGTTTTCTGCCTGTGAGTCTCATCTAGGAACTGGAAATTAGGGAGGCCTCTTCAGTTTTTTTATAATCTCCTTGATTGTTATATGCCCCTCTGAAGGATGGGGCTAATACCTTCCTCCCGATGTCCTCTTAAGAATCACTTGTATACAGATTGGTATTTTCAGTAGGGCTGTCTTATACATCTGGTGTGAAAAGGAGAAAAAGTATGAAAACTTGGGTTTGCTGGGGCCACCCTGGGGAAATCTTAATATGTGTCCATGGTTTGAAATATGTGTCACATGGTTGGAACCCTTGTGAAAAGGAGAATAAAGTTTTAAGTAATGCTTCCTCTGTATCTCCCTTAAAACCATTATTTTTCCCTCTCTTACAGGATAATTCATTTGAATTTGAAAAACGTAGAAATGAACCTGTTAAATACCAGCGAGAGCTATGGAATAAAACTAGTAAGTCACAAAGGAATACCGGGAATTTTAGATACTTGTTTGGGATATTACCTTGAATTTAATGTTTTATGTTGCTTAAATATTTTCATTGATTAGCTTTTATTCTTTATCTTTGTTTTACTAGTTCTGTTGTACTTGCATCTTTTGTTATAAACTGCCCCAAATCCTTTTCAGAATTGGCTGATATATGCATTATAAAAATAATGTAATTATTAGATATGATTTGAAGTGCCTACACAGATATAAAAATACCTAAAAATCTGAGAAAAAATAGAAGTGGAGAATACTTTTTTGGGGTGAGTGTGGCATAGTTAAAATATACACAAAAGTTAACACTTTTTTTTTCATTTATTTTGAGAGAGCGTGCACATGCTGTGTGCATTTGAGTGGGGAAACGGGCAGAGAGAGAGAATCCCAAGCAGCCTCTGCACTGTCAGTACAGAGCCTGATGTGGGGCTTGAACTTACGAACTGTGAGATCAAACCTGAGCCAAAATCAAGAGGTAGATGCTTAGCTGACTGAGCCACCCAGGTGCCCCAACCTAACACACTTTATAAGTTTAGATAATTTAGTTTAGGGATATAAACATTTGGTATACTTTATAAAATGTAATGCTTCTGTAAAATTAAAAAGTGTAGCACCTAAGGTGATAATTACATTTTCTAACAGAACTTCTAAGTGCATGACTTAGGTATAAGTGGAGCTATAGGCTGCTGAAGTTAAAAGCAATGGTAACTAGTCCTTGTCTTTTTTTTTCCCCTCTTTTTCCTGAAGTAGGCAGAGACTTTAGTGAAAAAAAAGAAACCCATATGTAGTAAAACTAAATTCCTTAAGTTAGCTTGTAGATGACCCTTTGCGTATGTTTGAGGTCCTTGTCCCTGACTTTTCTTCTCCCCATGCCTGTCTTAGGTGTTCTTTAGCCATTTATATAGTCTTGGGTGTGGAGGTGATATAGTTGGTTTGTTATTGAGAAGTCTCCAGGGCTTGGAGTCCTGTAGACTTTATCAGTCTTGAATGGATCATAGTCAGGGCATCCTTTTCATCACCTTTTGCCCAGTCACAACACTTCAGGGGAGGAATTGAAAAATTGGGGCCTTTGTAGTAGTATTTGACACTCTCTAAAGCTTTATCTTTCTGGACTATGTGAAGAATTTAGACTCCAGTTTTGGAATTGCCTTTCCACATAATCTTGGTGTTTTCTTTTAAATAAGGTCTTTCCCTCTGTTTTGCAATTAGAGGAAGAGTTAATTTCTGGAAAGCAGTTGAATATACTGGGTTTATTTGATAAGGAAATAATGCTGATTTAAACTCAAGGATTTCTAAAGAGATTAATGGGATTCTTTTTTTAAATTGAGGTATAAATGACATAGAACATATTAGTTTCAGGTATACAGTGTAATAATGATTTGATACTTATATATATTGTGAAATGACAAAGTCTAGTTGGTATCCATCACCACGCATTATTACAAATTTTTGGTAAGAATTCTTAAAGTGATTCTAAAAGACAAACTTGTCAGAGATGTTATTAGAAGGTCTGAAAGCATTTTTATATCCCATTGAATTTTATTTAATTTTGGACTTTATTTTCTTTGTTACTATTTGAGGATAGCAGCTCCAGATCATTTTTACATATTTTATAACTATTACTTGGTGGAGATTCAGTTTGATGTTGAAACAGGTGAATATTTTAGTCGTCTGTGGATATTCAGTTACTATGACCCTCTGTGCTGGTTTCCTGTTATTAACACTGTTCCTGAAAGATACAATTGTGTATCGTAAGACTTCATGTATTTTAACAAAAAGTACTTAGTCTTGCATACAAAGATGAACAGGGCACATATAGTCCCTGCCCTTCTGATGCACTTCACTGAGTATTCCTATTTTATTGTTTCTCTTACACAGTAACTGGTTCGTATGTTATCAGTCACTGCCCCACTTATTTATACATATGTAAATTTTTAAAAAATTTTTTATTTATTTTTGAGACACAGAGACAGAGTGCGAGCAGGGCAGGGGCAGAGAGAGAGGGACATGCAGAATCTGAAACAGGTTCCAGGCTCTGAGCTGTCAGTACAGAACCCACGAATCATGAGATTATGACCTGAGAAAGTTGGACGCTTAACCGACTGAGCCACCCAGGCACCCCTACATAAGTAAATTCTATAAGCAGCAGTGCTCTATTGAGGGTTCCCCCCCCCCCGCCCCGCATAGATTCTATTATCCTTTCCTTTTGAGATCCTAAAAGTAGACTTTTCGTAGAAAACTTTCTCAGTAGACAGTATGAATCTTTTGGAACTTAAAACTATTTCCTACTGCACAGTTAATAAAAACTTTTAGTAGTATTCCAAAAAAATGTTACTCTTCTAAAAGGTTTGTTGATTTCCCACACCCTCTATTTCAGTATCATCAGGTCTGAAGCTAATCTGTTGGCAGTTTTATACTCATTGCTTACGTTTTTGAATTGTGGAAAGGTGTGGACTGAGCAACTTTTGTTAAGATGCTGGTGTCCACAGAAACAGCAGGAGAACTTCAAAAACAAGAATCCTAGGAAGAAAAGTTTCTATTTTATCCTTCAGGTCTTTGTGTTGCAGGTCAATTTTATTATCAGGTGTTTCCTGGGGCACCTGGGTGGCTCAGTTGGTTAAGTGTTCGACTTTGGCTCAGGTCATGATCTTGCTGTTCATGAGTCTAGCCCCATGTCAGGCTCTGTGCTGATAGCTCAGAGCCTGGAGGCTGCTTTGGATTCTGTGTCTCTTTCTCTATGCCCTTCCCCTGCTCATTCTCTGTCTCTTGTTCTCTCAAAAAAATAAACATTAAAAAAAATATCAGGTGTTTCTTACATTAAAAATTTTTCAGTCTTCTGCAATATTTGGAAAGGTAGTGTCTTATTCTTTGGAGAGGATTTACCTGCCACTTTTTTGAAAAGTTTACTTATTTTGAGAGAAAGAAAGCATGCATGTGTGTGTAGGGGGAGAGACAGAGAGAATCCCAAGCAGGCTGTCAGCCCAGAGCCTGAAGTAGGGCTTGTTCTCATGAACCCTGAGATCGTGACCTGAGATGAAATGGAGCTGGACGCTTAGCCGATTGCACCACCCAGGTGCCCCTACCTGCCACTGCTGTTTATTTCCCTTCTGAGTAACTTTAAGGTATAGAAATACTTTTGAGTACCAGAATTTGGCCATATTTTTGTTGAAAGTAAAGAAAGAAAAAAGTTACATATTTAGCATGAGCAGATTTAAAGTTGACTCTGTCTTAGATTATTCATGTAGACATTATCTTAATACCAGTGGCTCCATGAGACCTTTGGGGGATCTTGTTAAAATGCAGATTGCGATATAGCATGTCTCGGTGGGACTTAAGATTCTGCATTTCTGATATGTTTTCAGGTGGTATCAATGTTGGCTGGTCCCCATATTACACTTAAATGATTTTATTTTGACATATTTTTAGACTGAACAGAAAAGCTGCAGAATTCTGATATCCTTCATCTTTGATTCCTCAAATGTTATTAAATTTACCATTCTCCTTTGTTTTCCTTTTACAATATTTTGAAGTTTTTAAGTTGCATATATAATGTTTTTATCCGTAAGTAGTTTAGTAGAAAGAGTATTTCCTGAAAAATAGAACATTCTTGTAAATAACCATAGCATAGTTTTTAAAATTAAGAAATTAACATTGGTACAGTATTACCATTTAATCTTAGACCTGTGGAGGAATAGTACAGGTCATGTCTCTTTGGTCTCTTTGAATTTGAAACAGTTCCCAAGTTTTTATATTTTATGATACTGACAGATTTAAAAAATTTTTTTAATGTTTATTTTTGGGGGAGAGAGAGAAAATGAGTGGGGGAGGGGCAAGAGAGAGGGAGACCTAGAATCTGAAGCAGGTTCTAGGTTCTGAGTTGTCAGCACAGAGCCCAATGTGGGGCTTGAACCCACAAACTGTGAGATCATGACATGAGCTGAAGTTGGATGCTTAACTGAGCCACCCACGTGCACTGATATTGATGGTTTTGAAGAGTATGGGTCAAGTGTTTGGTATAAAGTCCCTTAATTGACTTTTGTTTGATATTGCCTCAGTGTTAGATTTGGGTAATGGACGTTTGGCTGGAATACCATAGATGGGATGCTGAGTTCTTATCGTTGTATCCTTTTAGGAGCTACCTCCAGCTGTCCATTGGTCTTATTACTGGCTGTGTTAACTTTGATCATTGTTTAAGGTGGCATCTGACAGGTTTTTTCACTGTATTTTATCCTTTATAGTTAAAGTATATTGGTGATGTTTTAAGATTACTTGAATATCCTGCTATTCTTCAGATCACAGAATAGAAGAAGTTAGATTGGGAGTGTGTTGCCCAGTCTGGCGGCCACTGACCACAGGGGCTACACTTAAAATGTGGCTATTCTGAATAGAGATTTGCTGTAAATTTAAAAAAAAAAATTTTTTTTTTTTCTTAACATTTATTTTTGAGACAGAGCATGAGCAGGAGAGGGGCAGAGAGATAGAGAGACACAGATTTTGAAGCAGGGTCCCGGCTCTGAGCTATCAGCACAGAGCCTGATGCAGGGCTTGAATTCATTAACTGTGAGATCATGACCGAATCGAAGTGGGATGCTTTTAACTGACTGAGTCACCCAGGTGCCCTGAGATTTGCTGTAAATGTAAAATACATGGTTTTTGAAGACTTTATATGAAAACAAGCATAAAATTCCTCAGTAATTTTTGTATTATGTTGAAATGACAGTATTTTTGATATATTGGATAAAATAAGATACATCGCTAGATTTTGACTTTTTAAATGTGGCTGCTAGAAAATGTAAAATTACATGTATGGTTTGTCTTAATCTTAGTGCTAATGTAGATTGTAGAGCATAGTTGGATTTAGCCCCTCTACACATTTCCCCAAACTATTGGATTTTAGTGGTTGGGAACATGGCAAATTGATTGGTTCATTCTACCAGTATTCATCATGTGCAGATCATATCCCAGGCACTTAGAGGAAAAAGTAGTATTTATTACCAGAATGGTGCCTTTTTTTTTTTTTTTTTTTTTTTTTTTTTTTTTTTTTTTTTTTAAACGGAGAGGACAAGGTAAGAATGAGATTTGTTGCCCTTAATCCAAATTCTTAAAGTTTGGGCTGGTTTAAAGTAGAAGGAAAATTTAGTAGCAGTAAAGACTTTTGTAAAATAAAAATTAGAGCTGTATTTGTGAAAGATAGCTGACAACACTGTTAACTCTAAGAGTACCTACCTTCTTCAGCTATTTTAGTAGGGATTGTTTGTGCAATGAGGGTTTCATTTAAGCCATTTCTAAGTCAGAATAAAGTGATTATTAAAGCTCTTGCTTGAATGTGCAAAAATATGTAACTCTTATTTTTTTTTGTAGTTGATGCAATGAAGAGAGTTGAAGAGATCAAACAGAAACGCCAAGCTAAATTTATAATGAACAGGTATGAACATGTGTAGAGTAACTCTTGGAAAAATAATTACTAGTAGAAATCCAGATAAATTTTTTTCACATAACTTCAGAAAACTTGCAAGAATAGTATAAAGAACTCTTGTATATTCTGGTAGCATTTGGCCACATTCACTCTGTCCTTGTCTCTATGTAAGTTGAAGACATGATACCCTTTTTCTGAGTGTATTTCTATGTATATATTCTAAAAATAAGAACATGTTCTTAGATACCTATCATATAATTACCCAAATCAGAAAATTAACATTGAATGATATGGTTATATAACCTACAAACCTTATTTAAATTTCACCAGTTCCAGTAGCAACAGAAAACCCTGGATCTTGCATTGCATTTAGTGGTCCTATCTCCTGAAGCTCTTTTAGTTTGGACAGTTTCTCATCTTAAATGACATTGACATTTTTGAAGAATACAGGTCAGTTATATTATAGAATGTTCCTCAGTTTGTGTTTATCTTATGTTTTCCTCATGATTAGATTCAGGTTAGGTACTTTTGGCCAGAGTATCATAGAAATGATGATACATAAGAAGGACACAAATAGCAGGAGCCACATATTGTTTCAAGTGATTGATCACTTGGTTAAGGGGGTGTCTGCCAGTTTTTTCCACTCCATTGAAAAGCTCTGCTCTTTCTTTTTGATCAGTACATATCTTAGGGGAAATACATTGACCCTCTGCACAGTTCCTCAAACTGGTACCTGGTTCAGTAATTTTTTCTTTTATTAGTTGCCTTTCTCATATAAAGGAGCTTTTCCCTTTTCCAGTTTCAAAATGTATTCCTTTATTCATGTATCTGTGTGTATTCATTGATTCTTCTGGTATTCAAGGGGTGATAATTCTTTGTCATTATTTTGATGTTGTAAGTGTTCCATATAGGCTACTGGGCATCCCTTCAGGCAGGGTCCCATTTCATTGTGAATTTCCTCATCTTTCTTTGGGTGCTTTCTTGATTGATGGCTAAGAAGATGTGGCCTCATCTTATACTTCCCTGGCCTGGAATTGGCTGTTTCTTTAGAGCAGGGATTTTTTTTTTTTTTTTTTTTTTTTTTTTTTTTAAGAGAGAGGGTCTACACGTGCAAGCAGGGGAGGGGTAGAGAGAGGAGAGCAAGAATCCCAAGCAGGCTCCATGCTATCAATGCAGAACCCACGCTGGGCTAGATCCCACGAACCATGAGATTAAGAGTAGGACACTTGACAGACAGCCCCCCAGGTGTCCCAGGAGCATTTGTTTTTGATCATATTACTATTTAGTTTGTCATAGAAAAGCATGTGCCGAGAGCTTTCTGGCTTTAAAAAAATGTTAAAGTGATATAGAAACAAAAGCTAAATGTTTGAGAACTAGTCTGTTAGCATGTTTGTCTCACATACATGTGTTTTGTGTTCTTGTATTACTGATCAGAAAAATTAGCACAGAGCCTATTTCGTTTGAGGAGAAAAGATCTAGGTACTTTAGCATTTGAGAGGTTTGCACTGTATCTGTATAATAGACATTGATGTCTGACATTTAATTCTTCAATCACATTTCTTCATTCACTCAGCAAATATATTTTAATCCCCAGTTTATTCCTAAGTACTAGGGATACAGTCAATGAACCAGTGGTAGTGTAAGAATTTCTTAAGCTAATTAGGAACTAGAAAATAATTTTGAGTTCTTACTGCTAATTCCTGGCTAAAATTATTTTGATAAATTATGAGTTAATGTCTTCTAAAGAAATTTTAGTAACTAGTTTTGGCTTTTATGTGTTTTGTCCTAGATTAAAGAAAAATAAAGAATTACAGAAAGTTCAGGACATCAAAGAAGTCAAGCAAAACATTCATCTTATCCGGGCCCCTCTTGCCGGTAAGTGCTGTATTACACAGAAGTTCTCTTTCAGTAGAGAAATCAAGAGTCAGGATGGTTGTGGTCTGGTTAAGTGGGTGCTAGTCAACTTTTTATGGGCACTTTTTCATGTAAATACCACATTTATGGTATGACTTTGTTTATAAAAATATAATTTATTCATTGTATTGCCCAGTTCTAATTTATTGCAAATGGTGTTTTTTTCCCTTCAGAAAAATCTTGTATTCCATAAGCTAGTCATATTTGAGTATTAATTTAATAGATTTTTGCCTCTTTCATACTTTTTATTAAATAATAGTGTTTTTTATTAGTGGTTTTCCAACTTTGGTTCGTATGGGAATTGTGCAACTTAGGATAAATACAGAGGCCCAGGCCTTTTGAGTCTGAACTTCTGTTCCTTAGCTTTCTGGGTTCTGATACTACTGTTTGTATTAAAACTTTCTCTTTAAGTTTATATAACTTGCCTATAGTCACTCATTTGGGCAGTTGTTTGTGTGCGTAGTTTCTTTTGTGGTGCTAGAAAACCAGTCTTCACTCAGCTGGCACCAAATACCATCTGTTATATGATTTACTTATGCAGATTACCTGAAGGGAGAGAAATTTTGGTGAGATTTAGTTCAAGAGTTAATTCCTGTGAATGATTCCATGTCAAAACCTTAGTAAGGTCAAATTCTGTAACTATATGTTGAATAGATAAGTATTTAACGAGTTAATTTTTGTACCAACTTTTATTAAAATAGGCAAAATCTTGGGGCATTTGTTTCACATATAGACGATGTGAACTTACACCCAGAACAACAGTAATGAACTGTTGTTACGTAACTTTTTAGGTAACCCTCTTAGGGTAGGTAAGTACACTATAAAGAACAGAGACCTTGGAGCCAGAGGGCCAGGGTTCAAATTCTCTCTTGAGCTTACTGGGCTTACTGAGTGATCTGGGACAATTTTATCCGTCTCTGGGTCTGTGTTCTCTCACATTTAAAATGCATGTTAGGGTGAAATGAATAGATGTGTATGGAATGCTTATTTTATGTATGACATATCATAAGACCTGTGTGGGTTTGGTTACTATTCTTAAATTTCTTAGAATTGGCTATTTTAAACCATCTAAGATCCTTTATAAAATGTTGGTAAGAGTTCTGCAAGGTTACAGTGGATTGATATTTTTTTTAAATTTGTTTTTAAAGGCAAAGGAAAGCAATTGGAAGAAAAAATGGTGCAGAAATTACAACAGGATGTGGACATGGAAGATATTTCTTAAAGATCTCACTATTTCTATAAGTGCATTTGAAAATCTCCTTAGGAGACCAAGAACTTCTAAATGATCTTTTATATTTTACATAAGGTCACTCAAATGAAAGGTATTTAAAAATACATCTCTTCTACGTTGCTCATTGCTGTCTGTAAAATATCAGATATTATGGATGTTAGATTGCATTTCCATTGTTAAACCTTCACTGATACTTACATTTATGTAAGTCATGCAACTTCTCTTTGTAAATACAGAAGTCAAGTGTAGGCATAAAATGTTCCTGCCATTTGGGTAATGGCACTATGCAGTATTTATGGAAGAACTAATGACAAAAATATATTTTACATATTCCTAGCCATAAATTTTCTTTGCAGTAAAATATTAATTTTACTTTAATATTATAGAAGGGGGCTTAAAACAAGGAACTAAAACAACCTGTATGTATGATAATTAGCCTTAAGTAATCTTTTATTTTGATTTCAGTATTTGTTTTGGTTTCTTAGAAGAGTATATGAAGCCTAATTATGTTGGAGGTGAGAGCTGAATAGCTTTTTCCTGAAATGGTACTCTATACTTTCATTTTGGAGAACACTCAATTCTGAGATTCCTGATAGAACCAGATTTTTTTTTTCCAGCTTAGCAGTAGTTTAAAAGTGGAAGAATCCCCGTGCCTTTTAGGATGTTGTGTGGTTCCATTTAAAAAGCTCCTAATTGTTTTTGGATAATAGAATTTACGGTTTATTATTTGGACTTAAGTTCATATTTTTTGTTTAAAAGCTACTAAAAAACTATTCTTTAGCAGGAAGAAAATAACTCCCACATACTACTGAAGTAGGAAATACAATTAAAGAAAAATATATACTGAATAATGTTTTTATATTTCTACATTTTTTGCAACTTTAAGGATATTAAGTAACTCACTTCACATTTTTAAGGACAGAACTTAGAATAAATTATAATCTTAGGGTTATAAAATTATAAAGTAATGGCTAAATTTTTACTTCAGTATTAGTGAAAAAGTGATCACTGGACAAAGTGTTCAGGACAAAGATCTGAATTCCAGTGTGATTTTTGCCCTTGTGTTCTTATTTGTTAAATATGGGTCATTGGTAGACAACATTATTGATAAAACAATTAGGGGAAATGATATATGAACTCAAAGACATTTGTTAAATTACTTGAAGTTTGTACTCCATACTAGATTTATATTTGTTTTAATATCAACATGTTTAAGGGGTGCCCAGGTGGCTCAGTTGGTTAAGTATCCGACTTCGGCTCAGATCATGATCTCACAGTTCATGGGTTGAACCCTATGTCAGGCTCTGTGCTGACAGCTCAGAACCTGGAGCCTGCTTCAGATTCTGTGTCTCCCTCTCTCTCTGCCCCTCCCCCACTCATGCTCTGTCTCAAAAATAAATAAACATTAAAAAAATTTTAAAAAAATCAGCATGTTTAAGATCACATACTGTCAGATTTCCTACCTTGAGACCATCAATTTGGGAAATTGAGCTGAAAAGAGAAGTGTTTGGTTATTAAACTTGGAGATGCAGTATCAGTTCTTCCTGTCAGGAATTCATAGTATTTTGAGATCCCAGATATCTTTATAAACTGTGTGGATGCAGATGCCACCGTTCCCCCCTTCCCTCCTCTGCAGCTCTCTAAGTACGGTTCTATGACTGAGTTGTCCCTTTAAAATGTTGCCTGAGAAGTGGCATGGTACAGTGCTGTTTCTATTTGTCTGATTGAGACCTCTGCTGGGCCGTTAGTGTAACACAAAACCATAAAATTTTCCTGACCTTTGCTTCATAGAACTTATGTATTCTTCAATTGTTTAAGGGTAATATAACTTTGGAAGTCATAGAAAAGAATTTGCTTACACATTTGCCTTATAAAACCTTGTAGGATAGCAGAAAAAACTCATTAAGGGACACTTGGCTGGCTTAGTAGAGTATGCAACTCTTGATGCTGGGGTTGGGAGTTTGAGCTCCACCCTGGGAGTAGAATTTACTTAAACTCATTAAGTCTTATTTCTTAAAAATAGAAAACCTTGAAAGATGTTTATGTTATAGAAATAAGTTCCATAAGGACTGGCCTCTTTCCTAACATTCCACGAAGTAGCACTCTTCTTTTCTAGTTGGAAGAATTTTTAGGTACCTTCCCTTCTTATCACATAGATGGAGTAGGCAGTGTTTTGTATTCATGCAAGTGCCTATGTGTAGAAGGGATTTATCTGGAGCTTCAGATACTGTCTTAAGTCCCAGTGATTGCTATAAGAGAGGACTGTAGAAGTTACTTGAGTGATGCTCAACCTGTGTGTTGGTTTTTTCATTGAATAAATGGAAATGATAGTATGACTACAGGATTTTTTATGAGGATCCAGGTAATATATGCAAAATAATCATTTCAAGGCCACTCCCATAATAGGTAGTATTGAATTCTTAGCTGTTAGGATTGGCTTTGTGACCACACAAAACTTACAGGCAATGGGCTTTGCCTTGGGAGAAAGGTGGAGGGTATTAGGGTTTGGGGATAGCTGTCATTAAATTGAGTACAGTGCACTTAGTCCACAAAGCCAGAGTTATGTAGGGCTTAAAATGTTAACTTTTAATTTCACCTAGAAAAATCAGTTATTTAGAGCATCTTATTCCCCATTCTGTTACGAAGACTGGGAGGGGGAAATCCATTTCCGATTTGTCAGCTCATGATTTAAACAGTGAATTGTCACCCATAATATCAAGGGTTAATTTATGTAAGACAGTTTATCCCTTCCACCAATCCTTCTTACATTTTAAAAGGAGATTGAAAAAAATCAGACTTTAATTATACAGATGTATAGTATACATTATAATATTGAATGAATACTACCTCGTAAAAATTAGCACAGTAGCCTGCTGAATTAAAAGTGTTCAAAAGATAAGGGGGAAAAATAAGTATCAAAAAAGAGAAAACAGTTTCAAAGTCTATTTCTTTTGGAAAATTGTTTCTATATTCTTTTTTTTTTTACATATAATAGAATTGAAAATATAACTCACACATTTTGCCCTGCATGTTTTTGTTTTGAGTATCAATTAGCCTTATGTTGATTTGAAATTTTTTGGTCAGTTGAATTTTGTTGTGAAGAAGTGACTTTTTAAGAATATATTCTCATGTTTTGAATGTAAGAATCTCTACTTTCTGGTGCCACTGGTGAGCCTTTGGCTTAAGCTGTCCTGCTCCAAAATTTTCCTTGGCTTTTATAACTTAACTGAATCCATCATATAGGGATTGAAGGTGATATTTGTGCTTTGTAACCTTCCCTAAGGTACCAGTTACTGTATCTCCTTCTGTAACCTTTAGTTTTGTGGCTGCCCTTTGATCTTGCTAATAGATTCCTTTTCAACATTTGTGATAAAGTCTTGACTAATAGACATCTCCATCCTGTTCAGCAAATCCAGGCAGCTCATTTTATCATAATCTCGAAGGGTCCAGGGATGGTTTCTATCTTATCCCAGGCACGTATTAAGTACCTGGTGCCTGGAAGATGCTTGATAATTGTGACTAAGTGGAAAATTAGTGTGTAGCTACATGCAAGGTTTACTGGACGGTTATTTTGTTTTTTGTTTTTTTAAATAACCAGTAACTTCAAAGATACAAAAGACAAATTACCAGCAGTGAGCTGCATTAAGAAAGGAAGCATTCTCTGACTTCAGCATTAATCAAATCTGTTAGGAAAACTTGCTTAAGAGCAGTGTTTGCCTTAGGTGGCATACCAGATTTTGCTTAGGTCTACTTCTTTAGTGGCGATAGATCAACCTGCATTTCTGGGTTTGGCTGGAGCATTCCCATGTCAGGAAATCCTACGAAGGACTGAACATAAGCTGTTATTGTCATGGCAGTCATAGAGTATAAAAACATAAATAAGGACAATGAATTGGGAAGAATCTATTAATACCTCAAGAGTACTGTTCCAAAGTAATGTTAACCAAACAAAAAATACAAGAGACAGGCTCTTTAGTATTTTGAGCAACTGAGTTTTCTGAATGACAGCTTTTAAATACTTGCTTTAGTCTATTACAGTAAAGTGCTAATATGTTTAGTTTGGTGGCAAGGTGTGGACTCTTAGGAACACCAGTGAAAAGTATGCCATTCTAGTCAGTTATTCCACACAGTTGTCTAGTGTGCATCTAATGAGACTCCATATTTCCTCTTCTGATAGCAAGGAATGCAGTACAGGGAGGGAGTGAGCAAGTATTAAAGGCAGTTTACTTGATTCAAAGAATTTGCCATTCAGAAGCATAGTACAACATACTCCTATATGTTAAATTTTAGGTGTTTACATTGCATGGTTCACTGAGTTTCTCTTCAGCCCTCAGATTCTTCATGCTGCCAAAACATCACAGCTATTAGCTTTTGACTTTGTACTAATACAGTTCCCCCATTTCTTAGAATATACCCAAGAAGAACTACCAGAAAATACATTAGAAGAATAGACAACGGAAATAAAAATTGTGTAGAGAAAAACATCTCAAAGGAGAAAATATGCAGGTCATAACCTCTCAATACCACTGTTCTCACATTCACAAACATGTAGTACTACCTAGTTCCAGAGTTGTGAGAATTTAGTGCCAGTTATTACCGACAGGTACATTGCATTCATCTTAGAATATTCACAACCCTTTAAGTCTGTCCTCATTTTGCAGATGAGGAACCTGAGGTTAAGAGAGATTGAATAGTGTGATCCAGGTCACTAACAACTAGCAGAGCTTAGAATTAAGCTCAGTCTGACTGAGTCAGTCACCTGCTGGTATTCTGAATAGCATCTAGTATGATGCCTGGCACATGGTTGGTGCTCAATATATGTTTACTCATTCAAGGGAAACAAAAAATCTATCAAGTAAGAGAAGGGGTTCTGGAGAACTGGATAGGTTTTTATGAAGTAGTTTAATTTTTTTGTGTGTAGGACTGACAGGTGATCATTTGTCCCAGCTTGAGTGTAATTAAGACAGCAAATCTAATGAAATGTTTTTGAAATTTATTGTCTTAAAGTAAATTAGGATAGTAATGCCTGTAATTACAGTGTAATTTCTAATTATTGAAGGAAATATTCACCTGGCTCTGAAATGTATGCTA